GAAGTCTTGCCATCCTCGCTTCTAAGAATATTTCTGGTTGTGTTTCTTCTAAGACTTATTTGTTTGCTTTTTTGGCAGTTCACGGTATATTCAATATCCCTCGCCAACACCACAGTTCAAATGCATCAATTCTTCTCTGTCTTACTTTTTCATTGTCCAGCTTTTGCATGCGTGTGAGATGACTAAAAAGACCATGGCTTGGGTCAGGCACACCTCAGTCATCAAAGTGACATCTTTGTTTCCGAAAACTTTGAAGAGGTCTTTTGCAGCGGATTTGCCCAATGCAATACATTGTTTGGTTTCTTGATTATTGCTTTCATGGGCATTGATAGCTGATACAAGTAAAATGAAATTGTTGACAGCTTCAGTTTCTACCTCATTTATTATGATGTTGTTTATTCATCCAGTTGTGAGGATTTCGTTTTCTTCAGGTTCAGGTATAATCCATACTGAAGGTTGCAGTCTTTGGCCTTCATCAGTAAGTGCTTCAAGTTGCTTTCATTTTCAGCAAGCAAGTTTGTGTTATCTGCATATTGCAGGTTGTTAATGAGTCTTCCTCATTCTTCTTCATATAGTCCAGCTTCTCTGATTATTTGTTCAGCATGCAGATTGAATAGGTATGGCGAAAGGATACAACCCTGCTGCATACCTTTTCCAATTTTAAATCACACAGTGTCACCTTGTTCTGCTTGAACGACTTCCTCTTGATCTGTGTACCGGCTCCAAGTGAGCACAATTGAGTGTTCTGAAATTTCTACTCTTCATACTATTATCCATAATTTGTTATGATCCACACAGTCGAAGGCCTTCACATAGTTGATAAAACACAAGTAAACATCTTTCTGGTATTCTCTGCTTTCAGCCGAGATCCATCTGACATCAGCATCGATATCCCTCATTCCACGTCCTCTTCTGAATCCAGCCTGAACTTCTGGCAGCTCCCTGTAGCTGTATGGCTGCAGTTGTTTTTGAATTAAGGAAGACCATAGGTTTTCTTGGGATGTCTGCATTGTCCCATCCCAAGGCAGGAGGTGCGGCTACCTGGAGCCTCCAGAGTCTTTTCATTCTGGCAACTCTGAGAACTCAGGGAATTCACACTAATGTCATTTCATGGCCACTACTCCTCGCTCCAGAACCAGCAAGAAGTTCCTTGTGGGGAGACTGTCATGTTGTGCGCAGGCCAGGCAATGTCAGGCCACCAGGGGGCGCTGCCCGACCAGCCTCTCTCCCTAACTTGTCAGCTGGACAGAGGAGGCTGAATCTGGAGCCCTGAGCGGCAGGTTTGGCCCTTAGGCTGGGGGGCATGGGAAGCTAGCCCAGGTCTTGCGGATCTGCGACCTGACCACCTAAGAATGGCAATAACAGGGACCCTTCATATCATTTGGGCCCTCCTGTTCCCGCACACACCATCTCCTCCTCCTGATGAAGAATGGGTATTTATTCCACATTATGGCTAATGAGAATATGTCCAGATAAAGACCTGAGTCCCAGAGAGGTGAAGGGGCTGCTTCAGGCCACACAGCTGGTAAGTGGCAAAGCAAAGATCCCTCCATGCCAACCTCGGAGTCTCAGCATTTGACCACTGGGGAGAGGGGGCATGGTGAGGAGTGAGGCGCATCCTTGGGGCCTGGAGCCTGGGTCTCAGTCCACCCAGCAGAGCATAGCTGACATTCCTATCCCCCCTCCCCGCCCCATGGGACCTCAATGACCTTCTCTATTTTGAAGGAGCTGGTGAGGGGCTTAAAATCAGCATAGCCCTCAATACTTGACCAAGACACGCAGTTTCCCTGGCATGCAGTCTGCCGCTTTAGGGATGATTTTCAGTCTTGCCAGAGCCTCCTCACACACCTCAACTAGCCGTGGGTGCCCCAGCCTGCAACTGCACCCTGAGTCTGGAGGAGCCTGAGCAGCTGCACTATTTACTTTACTGTAGGTGTCATGCTAAATGCTGCATACATAGCCTCGTTTAATCCTCACAGCAGCCCTAGGAAGCAAGCTGTTATTATGTCCATTTTACAGATGAGGAAACAGGCTCAGAGCATACCTTAGCAGTCCTGGAGAGGGGAAGCTGGTTTTTTCCACCACCACTGCCACTGCCTGGCTGGGTCCCTGAGGGGCGGGCAATCTGGGGTCTCAGCCTTTGCTTGGGCTCTGGGTCTCCAGACAGAGGGATGTAAAAAATATGAGGACTGGTTGTCCTTCAGCAAAGGTTTCCTGGGCACCAACTCAGTGCCGGGCTCCTGGAGACAGGGAGGAAGGAAGCAGCTGGTCTTTCAGGAACTCACAGATCCAGAGGGATGGACAGGTCTGCAGTCAAGGCTGTGATAATAAGGAGGAGGGGAGACTGGTGTGGAATATCAAAAGGTAAGAGCATGCTCTGTAGAGGGACCTGTGAGCCAGGCCAGTGCATTAGTGTCCCAGCAGGAAAATGAGGGCTTCTCTCTGGGGGCATGTCCTTGGTCTTCAGCACAGAGATCAGGTGCAGGAAGATGCTGGGTGTCCAGGGGAGGGGGTGTCTTGGAAGGATATGCTTTACGATGCTGGGGCCCATCTCGGTGGGAAAAATGAGGCACAGCATTTACTATAGTCATAAAACTGCATGCCTGAGTGTGTGTAGGAGGCTTGGTGGTGCAGTGGTTAAGAGCTCGGTGGCTAACTGAAAGGTCAGCAGTTCAAATTCATCATGGGAGAAAGATGTGGCAGTCTGCTTCCGTAAATATTTCCAGCCTTGGAAACCTTAAAGGGCAGTTCTGCTCTGTCCTGTAGGGTTGCTATGAGTTGGAATCGACTCGATGGTAACGGGTTTGGTTTTTTTTGGTTAAGTATGTGTGTCTATATGTAAACACAGGTGTGTGAGTATATATTCTAAGCCTTATGTCCAAGTCCTTTTATATCCATGATGTCTTTTTACTTTCCCGAGTACCATGAAAGGTTGGCTGGACAGAAATATTATCCCCAAGGATAGATGAGAAAACAGAACCCATGTAAGAAGAAATGTCTTACGGTCAGGGGGCTCAATGGTTGAAAGTCAGGGCCCATTTTGTGGCTTCGGGCCCCAGCTCCATGCTCCTGCCCCTCAATCTTCTGCCCAGACCCCAGCTCAGCCGCTAGGACCCTGTGTGCTGCAGACCACCAAGCCATCTGCTTCTACCAGGGCGTTCTCCCCTGGAGGAGAGCGGTCACTCCAATCTTGGCAGTGGTCTGGGAGGTGCTGGGCCCCTGCATTTTCACAGGGAACCCCCACAGCATCTGGTAGGTCTGGGGAGGGGAGGACTGAAACCAGGCAGATGAAGATTCCAGTGGCTGTAGAGGCTGGAGCCCAAGACCAGGTCCATCTCTCCTCCCAAACCCGCCTTCTGGACTTGTAGCAACCACGGCCCACCTTGTGGAGGACCTGCCACAGAGAAAGGACCAGCAAGGAGTGAAGCCCTGTGCTGGTTCTCAGAGGGCAGCTGCCGGGAGGTGGGCCTCCAGTGAGGATGGGGGAGAGTCTACTAGCTTGACTTCTTTCCAAAATCTTGATTGGGATGCCAAAGGGGTTTGTTGGACTCTGCCCTGGAGGCTTGGCTTTTGCCCCTTGCCATTAACAGTGGGCACATGCAAAGCTTTCACATCATGCCAGGCACTGTTCTGAGTGCTTTGCACTTATGTATTCATTTGATCATCACAACCACCTCAGGAGGAAGGTCCAGTCGTTATTCCCATTTCACAGAGGAGGAAAGGGAGGGACAGAGACGTTAAGTGACTTGTCCAAGGTCACTCAGTAGGGGACAGAGCTGGGATTTGAACCCAGGAAATCTGCCTCTGGGGCTATTCTTGCCCTCCCTTCTCACTCGTGCCAATCATAGCTTCCATTTGACTAGCAACTTCTATATGCCTGGGATTTTCTGTTTCATCCCTTTCAGCAGCCCGACGTCTTAGGCGGTGATGTTCTCCACATTTCTCATTTCACAGCCAAGTAAATCCGGGCTTAGCCGGGTGCCCGGGGTGAGGTGACTCTGGGTTCACACAAATGCTAGGTCTGTCTGACTCCAAAGCTTTTACCCTCCGCTGCTGCCCCTGAATCGCTGTGTGACTTTGGGGAAGGCAGTTTCCCTGTCGCTTGAGCACTCGCCTACTCCTGGCCTCCATGCCCCAACCAGGAGGCAATGGACAGGGCTGCCATGCCATGGGGGTGAGGGTCTGGAGCCCTGCCCTTCCCTGCCAACTCCCCAGGAAAAATCGCCGCTCCGGGGTGGAAGGGTGGACAGGAAGGTGCTGGGTGGAGAAGGTCGACGCTGCTACAAACACCGAGAGGCCAGCAAGGCCGGGTGGAGAAGAAGGCTCAGATCTGATGTGGGAAAGGGTCGAAGCGCCCAGAAGCCACGTGCTCCGGGCGGTGGTGCTGGGAGCAGACTGTCCCCTGGGGAGAGAGACGTGCCACCACTTGAGTGGGGGTGGGGAGGGAGAGCGAGAAGAGGCAGGTTCTGGGAAGGAGAGATGGGGTGGGGGGCGGGTGGTAGAGAGGACGCGGACAAAGGACGCGGCCGGCAGCCCAGCTGTTTTGAAAAATGCTTCCTGTTTCTTTAAAGGCGCTCGCGGCTCGGGCAGCCGGGGCTAGGGAGTCGGCGGCGGCGGGAGCTGCCTCCTCTACGGGTGGCGGCGCTGACTGATCTCGCGAACTGGGCTTCTGTGTAAACTGAGGCTAAACAAACACAGATGGAGCGCAGCGGGCGTTCTCCAGAAATGCTGGCAACGCGGCAGCGACTTCAGATGACACTCTGAGCGCTTCGGGAACGGACAGCCCGGCGGCTTCGCGGAGCCGGTGGCGCAGCTGCCCCGGGCGTGGGGGGGAAAGGGAGAGGGAGGGAGGGAGGGAGAGAGAGCGCGGGGAGAGCGAGAGACTGAGCGGCGCTGAGCGCGGCGGCGGCCGGGCAGAGCCTGCACCCGGCGTGCAGAGCGAGCGCTTCGGGTGCGCGTCCCGCCAGTCCCACGCCCCTGCCTCGCACGCTGCCCGCGCCATGAAGCACATCCCGGTCCTCGAGGATGGGCCGTGGAAGACCGTGTGCGTGAAGGAGCTGAACGGCCTCAAGAAGCTCAAGAGGAAAGGCAAAGACCCGGCGCGGCGCGCGAACGGCTATAAAACTTTCCGACTGGACTTGGAAGCGCCCGAGTCCGGCGCCGCCGCCACCAACGGGCTGCGGGACAGGACCCAGCGGCTTCAGCCGGTCCTGGCCCGGGTGCCAGCCCCGGTGGCGCCGTCCGTCCTCCCAGGTGGGGGAGCGGTCACGGCAGGGGAACGCGGGGGCGTTCGGGTGCCTGAGGTCTTGGACGCGCGGAAGCGCCGCTTCGCCCTGGGCGCAGTGAGGCCGGGACTCCCCACGCCGCCGCCGCCGCCTCCGGTGCCCCAGGGCCAGACATCAGGGGCTCCGGAGGCACAGCCTGGTCGGGAGCAGGGCCTGCGTCCCCGCATCTTGCTTTGCGCGCCGCCCGCGCGCCCCGCGCCTCCAGTGCCCCCAGCGTCCTCTCTGCGCCCGGCACCCCCGACGCGCCCCGGGGAAAGTTCCTACTCGTCAATTTCACACGTAATTTACAATAACATCCCGGATTCCTCTGCGTCGCCTAGGAAACGGCCAGGCGAAGCGACCGCCGCCTCCTCCGAGATCAAAGCCCTTCAGCAGACCCGAAGGCTCCTGGCGAACGCCAGGGAGCGGACGCGGGTGCACACCATAAGCGCAGCCTTCGAGGCGCTCAGGAAGCAGGTACTCGCTCCCCGCCGCACACCCTCACTGCGTCAGGGGAAGGTTGCTGGACTGGGTGGGTGGGTAACTGGCCCGGGAATTTTCGGGTGGATTGAGGTGTGTGTTAAAGGCAAGTTGTCTCCTCCCGGTTGGGCCCCAGAGCCCAGACAGGTTTGGGCAATACCGGGGCAGTGATCTTTGCTCCAGCGTTGGTACGGATCTTAGTGTGCAAAGCGGGCATGAAGGTTTGAGATGTCCGGCCCCGGACTCGCCTCACCCGCCAGCAGAGTGACCCTGACTGTGCGTTTGACTTCAGCCCTCCTAGTTCACTTTTATGGCAGCGAGAATTTGTCTCTTGGAGTCCCTTGGGCGCAGTGGAGAGTGGAGAGGGGCAGTGTCTCAGCCTGGGAAAGAACGGGATGACCCCCCTCCCGCCCCCGTATTTGATCTGGTCCGGGTCTCGCCTGCCTGTTGGTGGTGGCGAGGCCCAGAAGGCTGCAGAGGGGCTGTCCTGGGGTTGCTAGAATATAAGGTTTCTGCAGTCTTGAGGAGCCCGCCAACCCCTCTTCGGCCTCCAGCTTCCAGCAGAGGCATACCCTTGGGTTGCTTCTGGGCTCTGCACCTCTCGCTCTGGCGTCTTTAAGAACGTGGGCTATAAGCTTCTCCCCCTCCCCAGGGCGGCCTCAGGGATCGGCTGGGGGAGTCTCCCCCAGAGCTGCCCTCCCATCCTGCCCGTCAGCCCGTGGTGAAAGGAGCCCAGCTGAGGAGAGGACTGGGCAGCTGGGGGCTCCTCTGGGGGATTCTCAGAATCTACTTCTCGGCCAGGTCAGGCCTTCTCAGTCTGGGGCTGGTGACAGCAGACAGTGCCCCTCTGCCGGGCTGGGGGAAGAATACTTGCCTGAGAATTACCCATGGTGGGTGAGGGACAGTTTACAGTTCCATTTTAAAAAAAGGTGGGCACAGCCCTCTGGTTCCAGCTTCACATTTTCTCAGCGAGTAGGGAGACAGACAGTTCTAGGAAGTGGATGGTGAATGCTTTCCATTCCCACCCCAAACGGCCTGGGGAAGTGTTGGGGTGGGTGTGACTGGTTTGAGGAGTCGGGGTTTTGCTTGCTCTGAAGCTGGCTGCTGTGTGACTCCAAGAAAGTTACTCAATCTCTCTAGGCTTTAGCCAACAACAAAGCATCTCCGAAAGCGTGGCTCTCTTTTTGGAGCACATTGTCCTCCTCCCCTGGGGGAGAGCGGGAAATGATGCCTGTGTCCATTCAGTGGGAAAGGAATTAAATCCTTGGGGAAAGAAGCCCTTTGACTTCGAACCCATGTGTCTTGCCTGGGTTTAGGTGAGACGTTTGGTCAGTGAGGCCGGGTGGCTGGTCAGGCACAGACCAGGCTGAGAAACTGCCTGCAACCACACCAGCCAGGACCCTGGGCAGTGGGCCCAGTGGAGCAGACAGTCCCTCCCTGGGCTGTGTCTGAATGCCCCGGGGGGGGAGGGTAATCTGCAGTAAGTCCTGCCACTTACTCGCCTGCAGGATGGGTGACAGAGGGCAGAGAGATGCTGGTCCGCTTGCTCACCTTGCAGTTAGGGAAACCCCTCCCTGATTGGGGAGGCCACGTGCCCAGAGCCTCCCAGCTGGTGAGTGGCAGGGCAGAGTGAGGGCAGGGCAGGGCTGGCACCGAGGCCTTTTGACTGCCAGCTCAGCGCCCTTTCTATCCCTCCAGCTGCTTCTTTCAGCTCCCAGTGAGAGACTGGCCAAGGTCTCTGAGTGCCACACTACATCTCATTTGTCTGGTGGCTTTTACTTCTTCCTAAAATAAATGTCATCCTATTTGATCCTAACAACGTCTCTGCCAGTATTGGATTAGCCCATTACATGGAATGGAAAACTGAGGCCTGGAGAAGGCAGGAGACTTGTCGAAGATCACCTAGTGGGTTAGGGAAGATGACAGCAGGTTCCAGAAAGCCTGCCTGGCCAGATGCTTCCCACAGCGCTGTCTCTATCAGGTCATGGCTCCCCGACCTGTGGAGTTCAGTAGCAATCAGAGGCTGGCACGCACTTGGCAGGCGCTCTGAGGTGACATTGTTAATCCTGGTCTCCTTTCAATTCCACCCTCCCCGTGGGGTAGTTCTGTATAGAAGGGGCGGGTCCAGCATGTCTCAGCAGAAGGCAAAACCAAGCCCTCTCAGGGAGAGGGTGTGTGCGCATACATGGGCAGGCACACACACACATACACACGCACACCTGTGCACACACACATGCTCACAGACACGCCTGCTCCTGTTTGTTCTCTTTTTGCCAAAACCATTCTGTCCCTTCCCCAGAAGGGCTGCTAGGCCACAGTAGGCACCTGTCTACTGCCTGGGAAGGAAGGAAATTCAGCCAGGGCCCCTCTGACCACAAAGCCAGGAGCTGAGGCCACACCTACCACGTCCTCACCGATCAAGAAAGTCCTGGGTTCCTGGAGGAGCTCCTTCCTCCTTTGGAGCTCGGTTTCCCCGCCTGTAAAATGCACCCCCTCCCCCGAGTCTGAGGGGCTGTTGCTCTGGGATCTAGGCTCAGACCTGACTGGTTGAAATGGGCCCTGGCTGACGTGGCAAGGAGTTCACTCTGGGATTGTGGCTCTGGTCTGGGGCTTTGTCTTCCTGAGCAGCTTCCGGGTACAGTGAACAGATCCCTGCACTGGGAGTCGGGAGGCTGGATTTGAGTCCTGCCTCTGCGGCACGTTTTCTGTGTGGCCCTGGACAAGTCCCTTCCCCTCTCTGGGCCTCATACACAGCTTCTTTGCAAAAAGCAAATGAAGAAAGGAATGGGAGCTGTAGGAGGAAGAACATTTCTTGAGCATCTACAATGTCCTCAGGGCTGGGCAAGCTCTCAGCACATGTAGAAATAAGAATTCTGTAATAATTTTAATTATAGTCAGAGATGACCATTTATTAGATGGTTACTTTGTGCCAGGCACTGTGCTAAGTACGTTATGCATATTAGTTCGTATAATGAAATAGACACTGTTATCATCTCTCCCCCATTTTGCGCGTGGTGAAACTGAGGTTCAGAGAGCTTATGTAAATTGGTCGAGGTCTGGCAGCCTTCTGCTAAGGCGCGTGGCCTTGCACGTCCGTGTGTCACTCCCGGAACTCGAGAGCGATGGCGCTGCAGGATCACAGCCTGCACAGCTGGGTGCCGCTGTCACTGTCAGAGCCAGGTGTGAACCAGGCTCTCACAGCTCTGCTTCTCAGCCCATTTCACACCCTGGAGCTGTCCACCCTCAGCTCAAGGAAGCCACACAGGCCCCTGTTCTGTCAGAGCTACTCCATAACCTACTATCCCCTCAACCAGAAAGGTGAGTTAAATGGCCACGGGGCAGAGGTGCAGGTGGGGGAGAGGCCTGTGGTCGGGGGGTGGGGGGCGGTGTGCGGGGCAGATGGTCAGGTGGCAGCACATGCCACCAGCCTGGCTGCACAAGAGCCCTCTCCTCCGGCCTCAAGCCATGTGTGCACAGCTGGGCCTGGCCCACGTGCGGGCGTCTCGGGCTCCACATAGGAAGGGTCAGAGGGAAAGGCTGGCCGTGCTGTGGGTCTGGGCCTCTTGGCAGGGTCTTCTGGCTCACAGGCCATGCCCACTCTTGGAGCATCTGATCTCCACGTGGATTCCCTCTTTGCCTGCTCCGCCTGAAGCCCTGTCACTCAGTGCTGATGGGGAAATGGCAGCATTGGCAGGTAGGGGCCTGAGGTGGGCAGCGAGCAGCCCTCAGGATCTGCAGAGGTGCCTCTCCTGACGAAGGCGACAAGCAAATGAGGCCCAGGCCCCCTCCCCTGCCCCCCTGGAGTCTCCCAGAGGGTCATCACTGAGTGAACTCAGGGTGGCCCAGCAGTGGGCATGGAGGTGGCATCCCAGCCTAGCACCTCCCTCACTCAGACCCCATAGGGTGTCGGGGGGCCATGGCTCACCCCATAGCAGCCTTTGCACTAACCCTTAGGGAATGGGGAGCAGGCCTGCTTGCATCGAGGGCCCATCCAGGTGGGTGAGGGTGACAGGGGCCTCTATTCCGCCCCCTCATGCTCACAGTCACTCAGGGCGGCTGCTGGTGAGCCTCCTGCACAGGACAGAGTGCCTAACGTGGGTCTCTTGTTCCGTACCCATTTTACAGACGAAGACACTTATAGGGATGTTAAACAAATTGCTCAAGGTCACAGAGTGCCCACGACTTTTGTGCCCGTGTCTGTCTGGCCCTGGGGCCATGACTTTTAACAAGTAAGACCCAGGTTCTCAGGATCCAGCCTCGTAGCTGTTTAGAGGTTAGAATTTTAAAGGACCCACTTAAATAGACTGGACAAGGATCTTGAACAGCTCCATGTAGAGTAGCCTTGCCCCAGGAATACAACTCTCACTGATATGAAACAATTAGAGAATCATTTCAGATGGAATCAAGTGCTGAGTTGTGTGCAGTGGACAGTGATGCTGGAGCTGTGGGCCCAGGGTCTTGGGCTGGGTGTGAAGGGTGGGCAGGAGTTGGCACAGAGACAAGAGGGCAGAAGGCTTCGAGGCCTTTCCTGCATTTGCTGGTTGTTGTTATGTTGTTAGGTGCCGTTGGGTCGGTTCCAACTCATAGTGACCCTCTGTACAACAGAACAAAACACTGCCTGATTCTGTGCCATCCTCACAACCTTTGATATGTTTGAGCCCACTGTTGCAGCCACTGTGTCAATCCATCTCATTGAGAGTCTTCCTCTTTTTTGCTAACCCTCTACTTTACCAAGCATGATGTTCTTCTCCAGGGACTGGTCCCTCCTAATAACATGCCCAAAGTATGTGAGATGAAGTCTGTCCATCCTTCCTTCTAAGGAGTATTCTGGTTGTACTTCTTCCAAGACAGATTTGTTCATTCTTCTGGCAGTCTGTGGTATATTCAATATTCTTCATCAACACCATAATTCAAAGGCATCAATTCTTCTTCGGTCTTCCTTATTCATTGTCCAGCTTTTGCATGCAGATGAGGCGATTGAAAACATCATGGCTTGG